ACACATCTGAACCCAGCTCAGGCAATTTAGCAACTGAGGGAGACCATGTCCCAAGTAAAAACCAAAATAAAAGGGCTGGGGGCGTAGTTCAGTGCGAAGGCCTGGGGTTCCATCCTGGGGTGGAAATAGAGGGAGAGAGAGATGAATGATGCGATTCCAGTCCTCTGCGGCTTGAACTTCTGAGGCAACAGCGGTCTGCTTGGTCCGCCTCCGAGGCTGGCTAAGAGAAAGGCAAGAGGCAGGCACAGCAGGCTTTAGAGAAGGCCAGGGATTTGGATTTCCCCAGGGTCAAGGACACACTGCAGAGGGAGGATGGCTTCCACGTGGCCCCTGTGCTGCAGTAGGGGGACCTGCGAGGAGCGAGGCGCAGCCTTTGGGCATCCGGGAGGTGAGGGGGGCCTGCTGCACAGGCGCGCGGTGCCGTCCTGGTCTCTCTTTTCTGCCCCAGACTTGCAGGCTGCAGAGGGAAGAGGCAGGAGCAAAGGGGTCCCCAGGGAGCCGCCATGCCACTCCTGTCTGGGGTGGGAGGGAAACTGGGGCCAGTCTGGCCCAGAGAGAGGCAAGAGATTCCATCCAGTCCGGGCTGTGAGCGGTCTTCTAAACTGGAGTCGTTGTACTCACTGGAGTGAATGGAGGGAAATGTACTCGGATGGAACTGAGAAAATTATCACGATTCTTGTTGAGGCCTCTCTAAGTATGCCCACTCCTGTAAAAATCTATTTTCCAATCAATAATTCCCGTTTCTTCACAGTCTCAAGAAAATCTTAATTTCTCAGAACAGTCTTGAGGAGAGCCCGTTGCTAGTGGTTCTGTAAGTTCGAGCCTCCTGTGTACGCAAGAGCCATCCCCGGAGCCTGGCCCAGCTGCCGGAAGTGGGGTACAGCGGGCCATGGCGGGCAAGCGGGTCTGGAGGGAGTGTGAGGTATACAAGAGGCTGCAGCCGGCCGGAGGGGTGGCTAAAGGAGGAGACCAAGTAGCGGGGTACGATGCTAGATACTGGATGTAGATGGGGTACATGGACATCCACGGTGCAACTCTTTCAACTTTCCTGAATGTTTGAAAAATGTTATAGTATGGTCATGGTTCACTTAACAAAAGCCTATGCCTTAGGAAATGTGTCATTGGAAGATGCTGTCCTTGTGCAAAAGATCAGAATGTGCTTACAAAACCGAGATGGGACAGTCTAGGCTGTGTGGTTCATCCTGTTGCTCCCGCTACGAACCTGAGCAGTACATTACTGTACTGACTTCTGTAGGCAAGTGCAACACCGTTGTAAGTATTTGTGCATCTGAATGTGTCTAAACCTAGAAAAGCTACAGTAAAAATACTAGACAATAGCAACTTTTCAGCTCCACGAGAACCTTGCGGGCCCACCAGTCCTACATGTGGTCAGTTGTTGACTGGGATGCTGTTGTGCAGTACATGATTATACAACTTCGGGGGAAAAATCAGAACTCCATCAGTAAAAAATCCAAGTTATTATTAAGGGTAGTTTTACTGCATGCCTCATATTATCTACTTTATTCCACTATCTTGGAGTTCATTAGATTTCATGTTAGAATAAAACAGTTTATCATTTGTATGTCCTGATTTATTTTCAAAGACTAAGAAATGTTTTTTTCTTCTTTTTTTTTTTTTTTTTTTTTTTTTTTTATTTTAAGGATAAAAGGAGGGAAACATTAACAGACATACAACATTTTACAACATATCACAAGCACAATACAGACAATACAGAGTTACAAACAAAGTGGTAGGGAATTAACAATGGTGGTTGTATTACATATTGATATCTTCAAAGTGGCTTCTCATTGTTTCTTCTGTTTTAAGTGCTTTAGTAGTCTCACAGATTCATCAGAAATTGTGGTCCCTTACGGCTCTGAGTCAGCCCCCAAGAGCTGGCCAGAAAAAAATCCTTTGAGAGATTTTAATCTCATCCCTGATTTTTTCAACTAATAGCTGTACATGAGGAACTAGAGAAAAACAAAACACTAAAACTGCCAAATATAAAAGATCCAAGTCTTTCCCACTGCTTCCCAGTATCTTTCCATACTCATGATATCGACAGCGGAGTTCCCAGCTCTCTCTTCAGTTATTTATGTACGTAAGTTTTCAAGTTTCTTTGAGAAATGAGAAGGCCAAGGAAAGGGGAGAGATCTAACAGGGTGCTTAGCTGACGTCCCCACATCTAGTACCTACCAAGATTAAAATACCCTTCTTTCTAAAGGCAGAACATCTTTAACTAAACTTGGTAGGCCATTTTATTGTTATATAAATAAAAGACGATGGTTCATTATTATATTCAGAAAATTGAAAACAGTCTGGAAACCAGAGAAGACTGTTTTCTGTCTCCTTGCTTTACTAAGGCACGGAAGAGGGAAGTGGAGGGAGCCCTGCCGCAGGCAGCGAAGACCTTCTATACTGGCCAGGATGGTGGAAAGGGGGCAAAGCACCACCAAAGGCAGAGGGAGAGCCCCATACCTGGAATCTTAAAAAGTATAAGTGCTAGGAAAATGGGTCCAAGTGGTTAAGAGTTCTAAGAACTTCAACTACTGAGCAATTACTTATGATGAGGATTATTAGAGACCAGAAAACTCTTATTTTAGCGATCAGTTCTGCAGCTAAACTGCCAGCCAAGTGCCTTTAGGGCCTGGATAAAGTCAGCAATACAGAAGCCAGTGATTTTCTTCATAGACAGAGTATGTGTGTGGAGGAGCAGGAGGGCGCTCTGCCCATTAATGTACTAGAAGAGAGGCTCAGTACGCCGAGGATCTCGTCAGGATACAGACTGACCCAGAGGTCTGCAGAATGGCTCACCGTCTGAATAGCAAGGCATGGAACTGCGCTAGCCTCATGGTACCTAAAATTACGCATGCATTATTAGTTTTCTCCTGCAGGGGCAGAAAGGTGTGTGATACATTTCTTCCCCCATCACGAAGGTCAAGGCCAAAATTCTTGTGACAAAAGATAACAAGAGAAAAGCACGGCAAACATATTCAATAAAAGTCTGACGGCATGGTCACCTTCAGAAATGCAGGGCTCCGATTCCCAGAAAAACCTGTTTTTATGTTTAGGAGCGAACGTATAGACGGCCCCGTAGAAATGAGAGTGGGCAAAATAATAGGAGTCAAGAGAGGAGACCCCGGGGACACCCAGTAAGGCCTCGCTGTGCGCATTCTTCCTGGCCTCCCTAGGAGGCCCGCCATCCTTCCTCCTCTGTATGGGGCAGAATCCATTCCAAACTAGGGATTTACAACCCTATTGTCAGATATACAGTTTCTTCCTGGTCAGATCTTTTACAAAAGGCAAAGGGAGATGACAGTAATATTTCTGGGTTTTATGTCTGGCTTTGAGGGAGAGGGAGTCTGGTCTCTGTGACACACCTTGTGGAAGAGGAATTCTACTTTCTATGGCCCCCTTGGGGGAGAAATCGGAGCTGGAGAGAAATGTGCAGAGAAGGTCATAAAGATCTTACTTCCGAGCCCCTTTCCTCTTGTTCAAAGTGTTCAGCATGCAATCTAAACTACCATTCAGGCTAGGATAATTTTAATTATGTTCATGACAACCCCACTTTAAAATTCCACATGTTTTACAATGCTATTACAGATAATCCCTTACATATTAAACTGATATGGACAGGGAAATTTAAATTGTATTTTGTGAAAGTGGATATGTATGAGTAGTTTTTTTTTTAACAAAGTAATGAGTTATGTTACTGTATTATTATTCTATACTAGGTCAGTATATGATATGAAAATGTTCAGTGAACGGCAGAGGATCCTTTGCAGCACTTAACTACATATGTCATTTAATACTCTGATCGCAGAGCAAAGCTAAATAAAGACTCTCCCTTGTGTCAAAGGTCAAACAGTCCTTTTCTCTCCCATTTCTTTTGGGTTCCAGTACAAACCTTTTTATTTAATTTGAAAACCCTAATAGGACACACTCAGAACTATAAGAAAAGGTTTTGTCGCCACCTCGTGGATAAAATAACAACAGCCCAAAAATTTACCATTTTTTGCACCTATGTCCAGCCTGGTTAATTTTTAAAATTATAACAAAAAAATTATTTTTAAACCTCTCACTACCACACCACAATTTTGTAGACTCACGAATGCCTGTAATTATCGGAGGTGAGTTTAGAAAAGAGAAGCACAGGGCCCTGCAGAGTAACTGTAAAAGAAGCTGCCCTATAACCAGATGGCTTCCCTGAAAGGAACCTGACTCACTTCCGGCTTGTTAAGGATTGTGCAAGTTAAGGTTTGACTCCATTCTAGGAGATGTTACTTTAATTTTGTGTCTACTGCATTTGTATCCTGCTCATGCATCTACTCCTTAACATCGTTTGGGAGGTAACAAGGGCTCAAGAAATGTATACCAATGCTCCTGTGGATATATCTAGCAATGTTAACCTATGCTTTGGTCATATACATGGCTTAGTATGAACAGAGCAGCTGGAACAAAATTTCACCCTAGGCAATTCTTTGAAATAACCAGGAAGAAAATTAAGACACACTTAGAGTTGCAGGAACAGCAAAACAAAATCATGCCAGAAAAATACAGATATTTTTCTACAGTTTAGTTGCTCTAAAAGAATGAAAAATCCAAGTTCACAAAAATTTCGTGAATTCTCTTTTATTACATAAAGAAGCAAACATACAACTTTGATGGCACCTAATAGGCATGCTGAATATTTTCAGGTTATTTTAAAGAGTGTCCTGTACATGTTCATAAATAAATAATACTGTTTCTCTGTTACAATAAAATATAGTACCACGGTTTCACATTTTTATGTAATTCAAATAAATGAGCACAGACAAATAAAGACAATATCTATATTATTGTTTACCAACAATGCTTATGTATTCCTGGAAAATAATCTAATAGGCCCAAAACTACTACAAACCATCTTCCTTTTTAAACTTTTTGAATTTTTTGTTTTTTGAGACAAGATCTTGCTATGTAGTTCACACTGGTCTTGAACTATATAGCCCAGGCTGGCAATCAAATTCACAGCAATCCTTCTGCCTCAGCCTCCCAAGTGCTAGGATTACAGGCATGCGCCACCATACCCAGCACCATCTTCCTTTTAGCAGTTAGCTGTAGTAAGACCAATGACGTCATCTACCTATTTTGTCATAGGCCACCAATTCTACCACCCTCAAATCAGTTACAAACCTTCAGCCCAATTAGTTACTCAAAGATTTGGAAAATAGGCAAAATTTAAACAAAGATTGATTTTTACAGTCTATTTTTGTACTTTTCTGCAACTTTTTCCCTTAACTGAATCAAAGCCTGAAACAGTCTTGTTTCTTTTAGGTTTTACTATATCAGATTGTTTTAACTGGTTTAAATGCAAGGTGTATGTAAACAACTCCTCAGAAATGAGAGGCACTTTTATTAAATATAACAACTCTTGTCGCCAGACCAGCAGGACTCTCTGTGGTTTTGACTTGATGAACTAAATGAGTTCATGATTCAACCTTACCACACAGCCTACTTCAAAACGGCAGGATCCTTATCTGCAGCATTTGGTTCCTTAGGATGTGTTGTCAGGGATCATACAATTAAAATTGTGCTTAGTTCTGTAATTAACCTAACTTTAAAAAAAATTAACACTACTAGGAGCTCTGATTCATTCCATTATTAACTGGTTAAAAGAAATGGCCAACCTGAGGCAAAAAGTAAACAAGGAAAGTCACTTTTTCAGGCTTTTACAACGGTCTGAATATGTGACATTAGGACTATTCCCCAGATTAAACAACCAGCTTCAATTAAAAGAGCTAGGAACAAGGGTGTAAGGCATTGTCTCTAAATTTCTTAACCACAATGGTCTTCAGCTCAGACGCGCGTAAGGCAAGGAAAAGAAAGTGTCACCCGCACCCATTCCAACCCTCATGGACGCTGCCCGTCTGCATAAAATCTCTAGTATATTGTTAGTGCATACTGACACACATGTGGATAATACCATGCTCACAAGTATTTACTCGCATGAAACTTCATTTAGAGCTCCATGAAAATCTAGCAGATTCCTAAGAGAAGTGCCAGCCGCAGTAACAGACACATCTGTGCTATAAGGAGGAGGGTAGATAGGGGTGTAGGGGAACCAGGCGTGAACCACACAGAGTGAAGAGTGGTGCTGTGCTTTCCAAATACACTGCAAATACTGAGAACAAAGGGTAGAGTACATCTGAGGACTGTGGAAGCAGTGTCTACTATAGATACATCTTCTGCTCACATTAAAAGGTGTAAGACCTCTACAAGAGCATGCTTTCTCCAGTAGGCTGGTGTGAGAGGTAAGGAATATTAAGAGAAAACCTGTAAAGACCTGAAGATAAAGTCCTAAAGAAAAAAAGCTACCATAAAAAATTTCATATATTGTTTAATGATGAAAATCTGATCTTAAAAAGGTATCGTCATATTTAATCTTTGTGCACTGTTTCCATTATAAATGCTCCTAGTCCTGAAGCAGTGTGCCTAACAGTTTGCAAGCCATTATAATATACTTTCAGATGCGACATGCCAAGCTGTTCACGTATACGGAAGGTGGAAAGACAGAAACATGGGTCTCAACAGAAAAACCACAGTAACTGATTAAAAAGGTCAACTATGTCATGAAAATACACTATCACAAAGTAGTCAACCAAAGGTTTCGAAGGTACTATCAACAGCGCTCACAACATAGCTACAGAAAGAAGTGGATGTTATTTAACTGCAGTCAAGGAAGGCGCCTGCAGGCAGCCAGGATGCCACAGAGAAGAAGTTCATAACACATCCAGCAAATTCACCCCTGCTCCCCTTCCCTCCATCTGGAAGTATCCAGAAATGTGTCCTTTCCTGCCCTTGCGCCCCACAAGATAATACTCGGCTCTTTCAAACTGAAATAGATCAGTTTTCTGAGTGAGGACCACAGGATCAGGGTCTCGAGGCCGTAACACACCAAGTATTACATTCGACCAGTTTCCCTCTGTTTTCAGTTTATCCTGAACCCTTCACGCACAACTTCTAAGCGGTGATTTTCTTACGGTTCCTCTTCAGAAAAACTCCACATCTCAGAAATCTCAGGGTGCCACATATTTCACCCTTGTTCTGCCGAACAGCGACATCCATAACACAAATCATTTGAACCTCAGTTTAGAGAACTCACAAGTGGACTCCACAATCACCTCTTGATGTAAAGTACCCGAGAGAAAGAGGGAGCGAGAGAGAGCATTAAAATTCTCCATGCCATTGTTTCTACTGAGTAAGCAGCTCAGCGATAAACGACTGCCCAAAATAGAAACGCACGTACTTCCTAACTCTGGGAAGAACTGACTTCTCCTTGGGAGTGAAATGAACAGAAATCTGCCTGTAAAAGCAGAAGACACAGTGGCCAGAAGGGCCTTATTTCAAATGCTAGGATTTTACATAACTGAAAACAGCATGCACTGCTTTACATAGTTCTGTGCAAGTGAAGATGGGGAAGTAGACTACCAATTTTACATAGACCGGCTACCATTCCGGAAGTTTCCTGGGCTCGTCCCCTAGAGTATGGTGTTTCAGTCCTTTATATGGCACATAACTTTGGTTAATCTTTACCTTGCAGGCTCGCAAATGCTTAAGACTGTCAAAACAAAGGCCCACCGAAAGACACCTCTCCTTGAACGGAACTACCACTTCGCCGTGGTGAGAACTCTGGACCCTAAAAATACCTTGACTGGGGGCAGGGGGATGGGGAGTGGACTGAAGAACCAAACAACTCCTTCGATGTCACTCATTACAAAATGTCTTAAAATTCACAGTATCGTAACTTCCGGAAGAGCTCCGGTGTTCAAGTATCTGCTGGTCTTTGCAATACATCATCAGGTATTATTTTAATTTGTAAGTGTTTTGCTTTGCTCCGTTTGTTTTGAGTTTCCTCTCACTGGAAACGGGTGCATGAACACAGTTGTTTGCAATTCCCTTTTTCTTAAGATTAGCGTGTGCTTGTGTTCTGGAAGCCTTATAGGGGTCCACCGAGTCCAGAACCGTTGCTGGCTGTTTGGGAGCTCGGAGGTTCCCACTGGCTTCCAGCTTGGGGCTGCTGTCGCTGCAGGACAAATCCCTGTGCTGCAGCTTGGTGCTTTTACTGGATTTCTTTTTCTTCTCTCTGGTCCTCATTTCAGGAGTCTGCTCGAGGGAAAGTAGCCTGGTGCTGCCCAGCACATCCATGGGTCGTGGGGCGGTCTCAAAGGCATAATAGGATGGATGCGTGTCTTCCCGGTGAAAATCTTTCTTTCTCACAGGGCCTGACTTTGAAGCACCCTCCAGGTGAGGCGGAGGCTTGGACAGGGCACTAGCAATTAGTTTACTTCTCCCAGGACTCTTCAGAGCCCCAGGACCCCCCTGGGCAACTAGAGGTCTTGCCTTGGACCCCTTTGCCTTCTCCCCCTGCACCGTCTGGATCTGCAGCCACTCAAGCTGGATGAGCCTGTCCACGTACCTCCCAAGGAGCCCCCCGGCTCGGGGCACGGCGTCCGGCTTGCCCTCTGTGTTCAGAAGCACAGCCATCTCTCGGAGATCCCAGGAGCTAAACGGGGGCGGCAGGAAATCAGGATAGCAGTGTTCAGGTTTTGCATGGCTCTGACTCTGGTGGAGATCGAAGTAAACTGGATCGATTTCTTCTGCCCGGAGATTAAGATCTGGAGGCGTGAGGGGAGAAGGAGGGATGGGGATCCTTTCCGAATCTGACAGGTCACTGGCAGTATCCTCGTCAGCATCCTCCTTAATAATTTTCATTGACTGAAAGTCGAGAAATAATTTGTTCCCGAACGCCCCCTGGCACCTGGAGCTGGGTGCACTCCCTTCTGGTTTGTCTTCCAGAAGAAAGCCTCCTTTGAGTTTATCCCCAGCCGGTTGAGAGACTCCTGTGAGGCTGCCGCTCAGCCGGGGAGACAGGTGAGGTACTTGGGATTTACTGTGTCTTTTTCCTGAAGAATCTTTTGAACGTTGTACTTTATTCCAGGATGGGCCAGCACTCATACTGCTGTAAAAAATAAAACTGCAATTCTTACTACTACACGTGACAAAAAATGTAATCTGGCTATGATTAGAGACACACAGTCCATACGCCAAAAGCAGATCCTATTTTATACCAAATACTAGCAGTTAAGGAAATCAGTAGCATATCTCAGGGTGTATTTTATAATTTTAGACCAACTCTGTCTAAAAACCATTAATTTGGAAAAATTTTGTTATAGAACTCTGTCTGACCCATTAAACAGTTAATAGTGTTCAAAAACATTCAGAAATAAAACTTACAACTTTTTTTATACTTATTTTGAGTTAAATGTGAATATAATGTAAAATGCAAGTTTCACACTGTTTAATCAGTGGTGGATGGTGATCTTGAGCTAGCTAAACTCTTAATATGTAAAAGTATAGTATATATGTCTCGCCTTGAATCTAAAGCTTATGAATACATGTTCAAACAGGAAATACACTTAAGGGCTGGGGATTTAGCTCAGTGGCAAAAGCGCCTGCCTGGCAAGGGCAAGGTCGTGAGTTCGGTCCCCGGTACCGGAGAAAAACCAAAAAAAAAAAAAAAAAAGGAAATACACTTAAGACAGCTGTGTTTAAAAGGATAGAAATAAAATCATATGGTGCCATTATAATTCAATATGAATGATAAATAGGATTAATGCTATCTTATAAACGGCAGACCACGAAACAATAAATATTGTGTGCATTACCAGGATAGCAATATATTTCTGGGGTAATGTAGTCTGAGGTAGAATCTCACATAAGAGATTAGAAATTGACAGTGCCTTTTCAAAAATTTATTTACCAGGAACAAACCATTTAACTAAGGTTAGCAATATTTCTCTGTAATAGAAGAACAGAAGTCAGATCGTGTGAATAAAAATGTGTGGTGAGCATACTTTCTGGAAAGCTGAGATCCACTTGCTTGGTGATTTCAACCACACTAAGCAATTATTTGAAAATGTGTCACCCTTAATAAACACAGAGCATGTCAAACCATTGCCAAAAGCACAATACAACCTCAACAAATGTGAAAGAATGAATGAAAGTGAATGAATGAAAGAATGGCCACCATTAAGAATTTACAACTAAGACTGTTCAAACCTTTCTTTACAACTAGCTGTCAGTGTACAATCACAAAAGATAACTGACACATTCACTTCTGTATGAGAAGAAACCAACACAAAAAGGTGGTGAGGGCCAGGGATACAGCTTAGTGACACAGCGCCTGCCTCGCAAGCACAAGGTGCTGAGTTCAATTCCCGATACTAAAAAAAAAAAAAAAAAAAGTGATTAAAAGACTTGCTCAGAACTGCAGATTCTGCTAGCTCTCAAAATCACGGCCTCTGCAAGCCACAGATAAATAATACTTTTAAAGCTACTTTGTCCACTCATTTATGCTAGATGAAAAACCTAAAGGTTTTTTATTCAGTTTTTGGGTACCAGGAACCAATCAGTCAGGACCTCTGTGCCACTAACCTATAATCCCAGCCTTCGGTGTTTATTTATTTATTTATTTTTATCCAAATACGTATTTTTCTCCAATCACACATATTTGGCCTAAAGCACTGAGGTAATTAATATGCCTTTGGCAAGATAAAGCAATTATGTAAAGACTGTTTACCTGCTTCTCTGATGAGATTCATTCACCCTACTCCTTTTCTTGAAAAAATCACATGGCTGATCATCATCACGAGTTTGACGAACTGTCTAAAAAACAGACATCCAGGAGTAAACACTGTGCGCACACACACACGCAACACAAACGAGATAAAAAAGGACACATCTAAGGAAGACGTGCCCTCAAAGTGTACGTCACCTTTTCTGTGGTTTTCAAAATACTCTTGCTCAATCTGTTGGAATGTGACAGCGAGAAAAGTGACTTCTTTCCTCCTCTTATTCTTGCGAAGTACTCAGCACCACCAGAACTAGAGGCAATAGAATACTGACAGTAAGTACTGGTGGCACAGTCCTATGACCAGTACTTGGCTGGCTTTTCACTTTCTTTTAGCATTTGCACACTATGGAAATATTGAGGTCGTGACTATACAGTGGCTAGTACCCTGCACTGTGAAATATTACAGGGGGCTATTGTCTTATGTTTATGATTTAGTCTTGTTTTGCGTGTCTTTCACAATGGCTATTAGCTACGTGACTCTTAGCACCGTGCATGGATACCATTTCTCTTTTTCTCTCTTCCCACACCCCCACACCCACACACTCGCACACACGCAACCTCCTTGGAAATAATATGGGAAAGTTATACGAGGAAATCGTGGCTAGAACTACGCACAAGCCCCGCTTCCCATGGAATTCAGACTCTAGTAGGGAATCTCCCATTGGATTGTCCTGCCTTCCCTATCATATTAACCCATTAAATGTCCTCAGTAAATACACTGGTGTATCACCTTCTTTCTCCTGGCTGAATGTGTGACTGGAAAACACACTAATACATGTTACAAACTTATGATATTATCTTTGTGAACTTTGATCGTTTATACCACTGACTGCTCCTCTTACTTTTGAAAAGGACTCCACTTGCTTACGAAGAGCCTGTTGAAGGCGCCCCGAACAGAAACTGAATACTTCTCTTTCCATAATATCCCCTGCCTCTGGACAATTAAAAATAAGTAGAATTATAGACGTCTATTCTGAAATGTTCCTGCATTTCCCCACCGTAATCAGCTAAGCCTTTTTAGCCAGTTTACATATGATCGTAAGAGAAATCGCATATGGGGTCTCGCAAGGAATTCACTGTAGCATAAACAACGCGCCGGACTTGCAGGTGTGGGGAATGGAGCGCGTCAGCCCTTTTTCACTACTCTGGCTTTCTTCCTGCTTTTCCCCCGAACGGTCAAGAAGCCTTCGGGAAGGAACGCCGGGTCTGATCTACACTGCTCCCTACAGAGCGCCCCGGCACCCCGCTTTCCGCCTGACAGGTAGGACACCGGCGGCGGCATCCCCAGAAGTTCCAGGGAGAAGGGTCCGCCCGCAGGGTCCTAAGGATGCGGGAAATTCCCGGTCTCCCTGGCGCTCCCAGCGTGCACAGACACCAAGCAAGAGGATCTGACTGCAGACACGTCCCCGAGCCCCCGGAGGCGGATTTCCGGCAACCGCAGGATTCTCTAACTCCGGCTCCCAGTCTTCCTCCTCCCCGGCTGGCAGCCCGGGCAGACAGAAGCCCGCCTCCCCCTCCCGCCCCTGGGAGCCCGCGGGCGCTCGGCCGGCAAGGCATTGTGGGCACGCGGGGCCGGGCGCTCCCGCTGCGCGCGGAGGCTGCCCGCT